TATACCACATATCTCCTTTTATTGCTATTTTTCCATTAGATCAATTACTATTGCTCCTATATGAAGACAAAGTCCTAATTTTTCTCGGATAAAAACTATGAATGTATTTTTTAAGGAATAGAGACATGGAAAGGGGATAATATATCATAGTGTGTATAGTTTAATCTTAATTGTATTTAAAAAGTAAAGGCATGTTATTATTCACAAGTCTGTTTCCAATAAGGATGTACACTATTCAGAATTTTGTTTATTTTGCATTTGTGTACCTTTTTGCATGGTCTTGTTTGTGAATTTCGGTTGACCAATTTTAAAATTGAGAATGAAAACGGGGAATGTGTCAAAGAGACAACAAACCCGACCAAAGAGCAAAAAACAGCCCAAGGCCACCAATAGGTCTTCAACACGACGAGAAAATCCCGCACCGAAGGTGGGCTTCAGCTGGCCCCTTAACAAAAATGTGTACTAGTTCAGAGAAAATGGACGTCACAATAAACTCCAAAACATATAAATGAACCGAAATTGAAAAACACATACAAGACTAACAATGGCCAGAGGTTCCTGACTTGGGACAGGCGCAAAAATGCGACGGGATTAAGGGCATACTATACAGTTTTGATCCCACGGTGATTTTTTTACGAAAATTTGCATAAAAGCTATTTTTCACCTAGTCAATTCAAATATGTAATAAAAATATACCTCCATGTGCTACTTTAAGAGATAAATGGGGTCGAAATTTTAGACATTTACTCAAAATTTCGGTTTTTTGGACATCTCTATCCTTTGGATAGACATACCTAATTTTTTTGTTTCAAAAGATAAACACAAGCGGATTTTTGTTAAAACATTTGGAAAATCTTCTTTACATAAGTATGCTCTAAATTTGTATAAAAATTCTTTGTAAATAATAAATTTTTATCAAAGTTTCATGATTTTAGAAAAAAAACGGCATTTTTTGCTGTATATTTATCTAATTTAAAAAAATTTCATCGGTGACTTTTTCATAAAAATTGGTACAAGTAATCTTCATACGTAATCAAACCTAATGTCATTTTAAAGAAAAGGGGTCCATGAACTCATTTTCAAGTTAAATCAGTCTGAATGATATAAATCAGTCGAAAAATGCATCTTTTTCCGATATGTCACAGTTTGACGTCGCGAAAATAACATTCTACTTTAGCTACGCCATTACCTCCCCTGTAACTGTATCGTATGCCCTGGAACATGTTTTGTGAGATCTCAACCCTCCCCCTATACCTCAGGCCAATGTAGAATAAACAAACACAGCAATACGCACCACAGTAAAACTCAGTTTAAAAGAAGTTCGAGTCCGATGTAAGAAAAGGTAACAGAAGAAACTAAGCAAAATGACAATGATAACATAAATCAACAAAGGACTACTAGCAGTTACTGACATGCCAGCTCCAGACCTCAATTAAGCTGATTGGAAGATTATGTCTTCATCATATGAAAATCAAGCACAATCCCTCCCGTTAGGGGTTTAGTATTATACCGTCATAAAATATACGAGAAGAACATAACCCATATCATGCCAACAACTGGTTTTAGAATAAATGTGTTTATTTCCGATGCAAAGACCCTATGAGTGAATCAATAGTAATTTCAAAAAATGCCCTCTTTAATGACCTGACAACAGTATCGTAACTATATCCCTTCTGAATAAGTCTGTTTAAATGTTTGGTTAGCTTTGGAGGTGAATGACGACATTTTTGTGCTTTGTATATAATAATTCCATTATCATGTGATAAGAGTTGATGGTGAATATAAATAACCAACACAGAATCATGGAGCACGTGTATATAAATGAGACGATAAAGCGATGTTAATTGGTTGTTTTTATTATATTTTCCATGCGTTCCAATCTTTTATCAAACTTGCCATAACTGCCATTATTTGATTTATTGTCTTACAATTTTCTTTCAGAATTGGTTTATACTATTTTCCTTCAACTAGATATAGGAAGATGTGGTATGAGTGCCAATGAGACCACTCTCCATCCAAGTTACAATTTATAAAAGTAAACCATTATAGGTCAAGGTACGGCCTTCAACACGGAGCATTGGCTCACACCGAACAGCAAGTTATAAAGGGACCCCAAAAATTACTAGTGTAAAACCATTCAAACGGAAAAACCAACGGTCTAATCTATATAAAAACGAGAAACGAGAAACACGTATGAACTACATAAACAGATGACAACGTTTGTTTACTTTTTTCTTCCATCATGGTTTTTCCCTTCGCACTTACGCTGTGCGGTTGCCGAATTTATAAAAGGGGTGTTATGGTTAAGGTCACTGCATACGGCAAAGCTATCGGCGAATTAAAGAGTATTGAAAGACAATAATTCAATAGAAGTACATTTCTGAAGATTTGGATAAATTACATGTAAAGGATTTTCTTTTAAAAGAAAGTCAATGTACACGTGTTTTATAGTAAATCCTACAATGTAGCCATTTAAGTATATATAAAACATATTTATCTTTTGGCTAAATTTGATGTATCATATGACTTTTCAGTAATTGTTTTATTACTCTGTTATTTGCTTGCACAAGCGTTCACATACAGTCACAAATTGTTGGCACAATCTTATCTAAAAGGGAACAGTCTTTTAAGATCTTGAATCCTAAATGTCACACCAGTTTGCGGGCTTGAAGTTGGTCAACTTTTGAATCATTGATTTCCCACTTTGTTAAATTTTCGACAGAAAAACAAAATCGTCTGGCTTTTGTTTTTTCTTTCAATTTGTTTTATGGTACCAAGAATATCATCGAGACTGAAGATAAGAGCTCTTTTGGATGACTGTTTATCAGATTTTGATCGGTCATTGTTAAAATTGGTCATTTGTTATTTCGAGGTCTTCGTTTACAATAGGATACGCCGTTTTGTACTCTTTGTATAGACCGTGATTTCAAAATCAGCACATATAACACATTTTAGAATAAAATAAATTGGGTTTCAGTAAAATATTTATGTCAACCAACATGTCTTGAAATAAGTGTAGCTATTTTAAACAGTAGAAACATTAGTTTTTCCTCAGGATTCCGGTTATAAAACATCATATCTTTTCCGATGTCTGTCATAGCTGACGCATGCCCAATGAGAATTGAGGACTTACCATAGTCCAGACTTATTGCTGCGATCAAGCAAGCAAATGTAGTTAGTAGAGCTTGCACATTTCATATAAGAGATTATAAGAAAGTGTTTTTGATAAAGGGACACTTACAATCATCTAAATAACGTTAACAGAAATTTGAAAAAAAATTATCGTAAAATCATTCGATTCCTTCTTTTTCATTTCTACGACGAAAATTAAGAAGGCGAGACAAAGTGAACCTGCAGTCCGCCGTCTTGGGCGCCGGTTTCGCCAATATTTTGGTCCAGTTTGTCGTTAAGCTCATTTAGACATCAATATTAAACTTTGTCAAACCTTAATGAAATTTTACGTGCAGGCAAACATGCACCCCAATAAAACTGGACACAAACTTAGGCTCTCCATAAGGATAACCTATTTCTGCACCACTCTGCGTACGGTAAAAGTACGATAGTAAGAAACGAGGTAAAAACAAAGACGGCTTCATACAGAGAGCTATTGCAAGCAGAGATAACTACATGCATACCCAATTCACGGTGTGGATTTATCAGATAACATCAGGCATGGGGTAATGCTAATTTGTAATTGTAATGCCCTGTAATGCTTTACATTTCCCCAAGTAATGCAAGTAATGTGTAATGCTTAAATTTTGGTATGAAATGTTATATATATGTTTATTTTGATAATAGAATTTATAAAATGTGATGTGCAATATAATGTATTGGTAAAGTAATTGTAATGTAATGCATTATTGTCCAAAATACATGTAATTGTAATTGTAATATAATGCTGGTTTTGTCCAAATAATTGTAATGTAATGCATTACATTGCAATGTGATTTGCCCATGCCTGGATGACACTACGTATACTAAAACTCCCAGATAAAAATAGACGTACTAATTCAATTCATTCATGGACCTGAGATCATGTGCCAATGTTTAATTGTGCATCATACCTTTACAGTATATGGTCTAGATAGACAAAGAGAAAGGTTGCGCACACGTTAAACTAGTTAAAGCCACCAAATGGTGTGTCTGTACCAAGCCAGTCTATCTAGACCATGTGCTGTTCGGGTGTAATACCACCAAACCGTAGTAAGTCACATCAGGATTCAATTAAATTTTAAATAAAATACTAGTATTATCCATACAAATATGTACCCTATTGCCTTCTATGTCCTTTGAACTCTCTCAATCAGCAACGCCTTTTTCTTACCCAAGATCACTTATTCCAGCAGCACCTGTATATGGAGTATACATTTCCCAGATGTTACGATATTCCATAGCTTGCATTTCCTATCATGATTTCCTTGACAGAGGAATTTTGCTTACAAGGAAGCTATTGAACAAGAGTCCTAAGTGTTAAGTTGAAATCATCCCTTCGTAAATCTTACGGACGCCATCACGAGTTGGTTGACAGTTATGGAATATCTGTTTCACTGATGACGACGGATATGTTACAATTGTTGTCCTCTTTTCCTCGAATGTGACTTACCTATTTAGAATTATCATCGGGTTTGTCCTAACATGAGCCACGCGACGTTTGCCACATGTGGAGCAGGATCTGCTTACCCGTCCGGAGCACCTGAGATTTTAGTCGGGGTTCGTGTTGCTCAGTTTTTAGTTTTCATTGTTGTGTTTTGTGTACAGTTGTTTGTCTTTTCGTTGTTTTTCGTTTTTTGCCATAGCATTGTCAGTTTGTTTTCGACTGAGTTTGAATATCGCTTTGGTATCTTTCGCCTCTCTTTTATAACTGCCTTAAGCTGTGGATCTAAATGAATGTCCCAGCCTTTGTTTCAGCTATGAACAACAAATTTTTGCTAGTTTGGCCTAGTAAATCATGGACTGCGTTTTGGCAGAGTTATCAATACTTAGTGTAGAAAATTCATGCAATCATTTTCATTATTCATTTATGACAATTAAAGTTCTGAATACATATATTTGATAACAAAATAAATTAATGGTTAAAGATATATGTATCTACATACACAGTGTTTTTCTTTATTTAAAACTGAATATCCAACAAATTCTAATACTACTCATACCTAATCTTTAAGACTTTTTAATTTGGTCAAAAAATCTAAAACTGTGAAGTAAATATCAATGAGACAGCAACCCAACGAAATAAAATAAAGGTCTACACTATGTACCATGTTTAGTCCCTTTAAATAACTGACATTACGCGTTATGCTAAAATATATCATCCATATCTCATCAATGTAAGATCACATTCAAACAGGTAGAAATAAAAAAAAAATAGTATATGTTAATAACAAGCTCCTTCATTCTCTTCCTCCATCAACTCGTCTCTTACTTTCGTCAAAGCTTGTCCAAGTAAATTCAGTCCTTTCCACGTTGACCTGTCCCAAGCCAAGGGGTCATTTTTATGAAGTCCAATACCCCATATCTTATCATGTGGACTGGTCTCCACGATAGTTTTAGGATGAGTCTGCAGAATAGTTGCCTTAAGTTCTTCATTCTGAGAGAACTGAAATATAGAAACCAAAGCATTGGCACAACTGTTTCATTTACGACAGTCTATCAGTTAATTTATCCTTGTCATTTGCTTTCAAAATGCCGTGTTTATCCTGTCTGTCAGTATACACGTAACTTTACATTTCTTATACAAAATCTACGAACGTTTTAAGTTAATCTTATTTGAGTATGTGTGTTTTTCTTGTTCTTTTTTAAATAAGAAAGAAAAATAATAATAACTTGGACAAGGGGCGGGGGCAGTACAAAAGACAATCCTTATAAAATGGTTTACGCACATTGTCATCGGCGAATCTAAGTTGAAATGCAGCATATATATGAACGTTTGTAAATACTCAAACTTCTATAGTATACAGGTTACATTATAACGGAACGAAATTTTAACATGTGCATTTAGGTACCCCAAAGATTTTTTCGGATCAAATATAGTTAGCTCCTCGTAACAAAGAATCACCAAACTTCTCCATTACTGTTGTAAAAGTGGGTGACCGTTTTACCCTGCGGGATGTATAACTACGCAGTCAGGACTTGTGGACGTTTAACCCGATGTCTCCTGAGAGTGTCACCCACTCTGGTTGTTAAAGAACACCTGCAACAACTCTCTGGAAGGTCCGTAAGTGACATATTACAACGCAAAATTTCTGTTTCTATCCAAAATATTCTTATTTTCCAATGGCTGTCCAAATTTCCCACTCTTATTCCAGCCCAAACCTTGCAAAACCTACCTGTTGAATTATTGTGTTCTCGTCCTAAATATTTATGAAGTATTTGCTAAGGGACGTTAAAGAGTAACAATCGATAATTCATAATTAAGAAAGGGAGAAAGAAAAATGCTGCCGTCGCTTCAAAATTTTTGTTTATTGACTCTTGTCCTGACTATGAATGAAATAGTTGTGACGGGCGTAAACCAACGAAAAATCAATCATTGATATTATTAGTATTAGATTATATCGACAAGTTACCTTTGCCTTATTCCCTCGCTCAACGATTGCTGAACAATTTGCATCCCATGTTTTTTGGTCAAAATTTTTAACCTTTCGCCCTAATTTTTTATGTTGAAGAGGATCATTTTCTTTAAGTACCATTTCTGCAACCCCCTCGTCCTCAAACAACACTGAAAATGAGAAGAAGAAAAAGGTGAAATTTTAGATAATTGGGCTTTTCAACAATCATATTCAGAACATGGTTTGCTCATGTTATCACACAAAGTGTGTTATCATGACCACTTATATTTGACTTCCGCAGATCATGAATGTAAATCAAACGCATATGATGTATAGGAGGTAAAATCTTATGATAAACTAGGTTATGGGAGCTATTCTGTATTTTGACAAACGCATTAAGTGGCATTCAAGTATCTTGTAATTTTGTAATACTGTGTTCTGTCAATATAACAATGAAATTAAATTTTAAAAATGGTTAAAAAGTTACAACATATCTATCTGAAATGAAAATATTATCATTAGTTACACAGTGTGCTAGTGACCTAATACGGAATACCCAGTATATGGGATAAGGAAATTCCATATGGGACGAGGGCGAGAGACCCCATATGGAATATCCTGACCCCATATAATATCTATTAGATCACTATCTTAACATGTGACATTTAGACTAGTGGCCTATCAAAGTGATCAAGTATTCAATATTAAGAACCTGCTTATATTGGTCTATTCCAAAACAAATGGCAACAATAACCACTTGTTAGCTTTAATGTGTTTTCTGCATACATTTTCAGTTGCTCATTATCAATTACTTCATCTGTTGTTTGGACGAATCGTTTCAGAATTTTCTTCAACGTCATGTTGTTTTTACAAAGGGACGTAACACTGCTACTAACCCAATATTGAAATAAAGCACGCCTACTAACCCCATATTAAATATACAGGGTCTCAACGTGTTTCCTTTTAACCACATCTTCGCTAGCCAAGGGTTACGATCCAGTCACCTCCTCTCCATGAGAGGACTGGATGGTAACCCTTGGCTAGCGAAGATGTTATAACCAATGATATTCCTAGAAATGTATAGGAGGAAAGATACATATAAATATGTATCTACCACGAGGCCACGTGTGACTTTACATTCTCAGTGATATATAATTCCCCATACATCATGTGATATTACATCCACAGTTATCCACATGCTCCATTACATCAAGAGTTTATTTTATTCATCAACAAATTAATTAAAAAAAAAACAAAAACAATGACCTGTAGTCAACTTCACCTAATACTACAATAATAACTGTTGAATGACTTACTTGCTTTGTTGTACATCATGTTGAATGACTTACTTGCTTTGTTGTACATCATGTTGAATGACTTACTTGCTTTGTTGTACATCATGTTGAATGACTTACTTGCTTTGTTGTACATCATGTACTGCTCTGTACAATTAAATGTGATATCATCGACTGTGAATTCACAGGCATAAAACTGACTGTAAGGAAAGTTAGATCCCCAAAAGAATTCAAATTCCTGCATTGCCTTTTGTCGTAGCGAAGAGTTTTTACTTTTTTTTGTATTCACATGTACACCTCTTTGATTTGGAGGAAACTCGTTATATTTTCTGGTTTTGTAAGCATGCCCATATCTGTCATTTGCTCTCCAGTATGGCATGTGATCATATTCTTGACTTGATGTCCCATATGCTTGATATGCTCCTTCGTTCTGATACGGATAACTAGTGTTTTCATTCTCGTACACATCTCTTTGATTCGAAGAAAAATCGTTAAATTTTCTGGGTCCGTAAGCTTGTCCATGTCTGTAGTTTGCTCCCCTGTATGTCACGTGACGTGAAGAATTCCCAGATGCTTGACATGCTCCTTCGCCCTGAGACTGAATATTAGTGTTTTCGCTCATCCTGTTTTTCTTTGCTCTGAAATAGCATAATTTTGTATTCGTAAATAATCCCGATGTCTCTTTATCTTTTTTCAAATAAACAGGTTAGGTTTCCAGAAAATGTTAAAAGCCGTTGTTGTTTCCTTAAATTCATGACGAGTAATGATTAATTGGTTTTATTCAAGAATTTCGAAAATATTGAAAGAATATAAATCTAAGGTTACCATTTAACAGGGAGTGGATGGAGGTCCATGATTCCCATTTCCTTACCCCAACTCCCACCTCCCTCCCCTCTACTCCCGATTCGCCCTCCTCCTACTTTCACTTCCCTTCCCCTCACTACCAGAAGAAAATCGTTCATTTTTTTCCCCAGAATATCCTTATTTCACTCCCTATCTACCCAAGTTTCGCGCCCCTGATTCTCGATTCCCTCCCCCTTGACTCCGGCTACCCGTCCCCTCATTCCCATGTTTCCTTACGCCCGTCCATCCCCTCATTTAAAGTCTATGAAAAACTTACAAACCTGCGCAGAAAATCATACGTTGTACCAAAAGCAATCGCATTTCCCGTAAATGTATATATTGATTTTATGACACCATTCTTTTATATTACTTCACAACTGAAAGAAACAACTGTTGTTAACCGAAAACGAAACTACAAATAAATCGTAAATAAATGTATGTATATCCGCTTGGTTAAACCTCTTTACGCAATATTATTTACTATAAATAGTACTTTAATTAAATGATGATTGAATATTCAAGAATATGAAAGATATTTATAGAAATTCAATGATGTATCCGCAAAATGTAAAAATCATCACATGTTGTTTGTGAGCGTAACCTGGGACAGAAGTGTAACAACAAACTGTCAAAATCAGTTGGAAAAGGCTAGAGTCGTCAGTTCGTCATCAAGCAAAACAAATAGATTTTAAGACAAATGACACATACTGTCGATCTAAGAGTAATAGCTTTAATTGAAAGCTAGTTCAAAGCCAAAATACAACTAATAAAACAACCATTGAACACCAGGACATCTACGGATTAGTAGTCTGTAAAAAGCACTACAATCTGTAATACCAGAATATAGGTATCAATCGTATGTGGGACAATCTGTAATACCAGAATACAGGTATCAATCGTATGTGGGACAATCTGTAATACCAGAATATAGGTATCAATCGTATGTGGGACCATCTGTAATACCAGAATATAGGTATCAATCGTATGTGGGACCATTATAAAAATAAAGAGATGTGGTATGATTCCCAATGAGAAAACCATCCACCAGAGTTCACATAATTGTTAATTCGGGATATCAATACATAAAAAAGCATAGATTTTTTTAATGTCGGGTATATATAACTGTTACAATACAGTTTAAGCTATGTGAAATTTAACCGACATACATATGATAAACACAAGATATAAAACACATAAAACAGAAAGCACATTATGTATAGCTTATACTGTTATATAAGCACAGCAAGTTATGGCAATAAATAAGCAAATCAAGGCATATAAAAACAAACATAAAATGCAGACGAAGTGACATTCATGCAGTAGCTATTAAGCACTTAAAGAATTTTAAGCATTTACAACAAAATTAAAAAGGTATGTAGAAAAAATATAAAAGTCTGAGTATATAAGATAAATATATATTCTTCACCTCAATAAGATCTGAGGAACACTGACACGAACTGACCTCCCAATTACCAACCAAACTTTAAAACTGACACGAAGGCATTGCTTGTCTCATCTTATTCAGCTGCTCGTTCCAGAGTTTGGCTCCTGCATATCTGAATGAGTGCAGCCCATGGATAGTTGTCCGTACCCTGGGAACATCAGCTATATTGTCATTTTTGAAAGAGTAACCACAGTTTTTAATTTCAATAAGATCATGTGAATTCAGTGAACATTGTTTATTAACAATTTAATATCATTCTAATTCACTGATTTTTAAGCTTGTTTTTTTCAGTTAGTTTACACACTGTGTCTAAACTACCCCGGCAAAAAATGTTTGGACTCGATGGTATCTAATACCCGGTACGGTGACGGACCATCCACAGACAGAGAAAATGTGGTTTTCTGTTTATTTATTTGTTATTTTTATGATAGCGAAGAATATAAATACATGTATTCCTATTTTCGATTGCGAGATGAAATATTTTCTACAACCATTCTAGATTAACGGAGAAATAAGTGAAAAAAAAAGGTTCACTCAATTCATCATCTTGACACGCATTTTTACTTATTTCTCTGTTAATCTAGAACGGTTGTAGAACATATAACATCTCGCAATCGAAAATAGTTTTATATGTATTTATATTCTTCGATATCATAAAAATAACAAACAAATAAACAGAAACCCACCTTTTCTCTGTTTGTTGATGGTCCGTCACCGTACCGGATATTAGATACTATTGAGTCCAAACATTTTTTGCCGGTGTAGTTTAGACACAGTGTAACATTTCTTGATAAGTGCTACAATAATCCTCATATATAAATCTTCGGGCAGGTTCCTCTATTTTCTCTATTTTTCTGGTATAAAAATCACCACAAAAATGCCATACTATTAGACAATAATTAAAATTTGACATTATAAATGAATGATAAATAGTAAGTCCACCTAGTTTCGTTACATTTTTACCAATATGTTTAAGTGCATGTACTGTATTGATGCCTTTTTTCAAATATTAGAAATATGGGCATCCATCTTAGCTGATAATCCATAGTTACACCAAATAGTTTCACTTCTTTTTCACAATGTATAATAAAGCCATTTATATTAAAAGAAATAGTTTTCTTTTCAGTTTTCTTGCCAATGGTTATTGCCTGAAACTTGTTAGGGTTGGTCTTCATATGATTTAAACTAAACCAATGTGAATATGACACAAGTATTGTCATCTGCATAATCATTTAATGAGCTGTTTGATACAAACATGAAAATATCATAGAAGAAAATTTAAAAAGTACACCTTTGATATATACCTTTCCAGGTACGTATATCGTTACCAACTTTTACACATTGTTTACTTTTACTTTAGTAGCTATCTGTCAAACTTAAAGATGATTCCGACAATCCATGTGCCTTCAGTTTCAAAATTAATAAATTATGAGGCAGGCAAGCCATTGACGCTAGGGTTTTGATACATGTACAGTTGTTTTATTGTTGTACAGCTATATTACGGTCTCAGATTAAGAGGGTTGAGCGTTCAAAAAACATGTTGAACCCCGACTCCAACATATTTTGAATGTGCCCATCCAATGCAAAGAGCCAGTAATCCATTGGATGTCGTTGATTTTTTTATCTGCCATACTAGTAAATTTTTTCTGACATAAATACTCTTTACTGGTTTACTCTTTTGAATTGTTTCACATTATGTCATCAATTTAAAAGCAGACTCTACGGGTTGGTTGTGCTCGTTAGTTTAGGCCGTACGGTAATACGGTGACCGTAACCCATGATTGTTACATTCTTGTCTATTGGTATACATAGGCAAAGAAAGGCCGTACGGTAATACGGTGACCGTAACCCATGATTTTAGGCCGTACGGTAATACGGTGACCGTAACCCATGATTTTAGGCCGTACGGTAATACCTAGACCGTAACCCATGATTTTAGGTCGTACGGTAATACGGTGACCGTAACCCATGATTTTAGGCCGTACGGTAATACCGTGACCGTAACCCATGATTTTAGGTCGTACGATAATACGGTGACCGTAACCCATGATTTTAGGTCGTACGGTAATACGGTGACCGTAACCCATGATTTTAGGTCGTACGGTAATACGGTGACCGTAACCCATGATTTTAGGCCGTACGGTAATACGGTGACCGTAACCCATGATTGCTACATTCTTGTCTATTGGTATACATAGGCAAAGAAAACTTTATTTTAATTCAGCATAGTATAAAACATATTAAACATAAGCTCAGTCTGATGAGCTTTTTATCGATTACATATATAAAACGCATACAAGACAAATAAAACAAAGCATCATGCACATATAAAACATATAACAGAATAAAGCCATGTAACAAACAAAAGGTCCGATTTCTAGCTTGTTTAGAGTGTATTTTAAAATCTATATAGAATTATCTGACAATAAAAATCAGCAGCTCCCGTTACCTGTCACCTGTTTTAAATATTCGTCCTTTCTAATGATCACTCCCGTAAGGTATATACAATCTAAAATATACCTATTTACACCATATAACAGACCAATAATCTCCATTGTCTTTTGAAATGTCTATGTATCAATCACATCATTGTTACTTCTGTAGTGGTAGCACTGACTGTCACAGGCACTTGTCTCAGAAAAAAAAACCTATATACCTTAATATAACAAAAAAAAATCTGAGACAAGTGCCTGTGCTGACTGCTCTACAAGGTAGTTGTATTTACCATTGAAACATCTAGTATATTACTTTATCTAAAGGAGTATTTGGTACAGTGGCGGGGATCCGGAAAGGGGGGGGGGGAAGGTTTCGGGGGTTGGAATCCCCCCTTTTATTTGAAATCAATGCATTTGAATGGGGACATATGGTTGGACCCCCCCCCCCTCCTTTATCCTGGGTTGGGAACCCCCTTTTGAAAATGGCTGGATCCGCCACTGTGGTAGTTTCAACTTTTTAAAGACTATTCAAACATGAAGGAGCAATAGTTGACATCTTGTTGGACAAGTTACTTCAATAATCCAACAACACCTTATTTTCATATGTATATTGAACTGCAATCATGCCTATGTTGTACCAGATGTCAAATGTTGTACAGTAATGGTTGCTCTGCAAACTTGTTCATATATATTACTACCTCAGGCAAAGTTGACCGTTGATGTATTTGGCTACTATTTTCAGATCCTTTTTGATCAAATAGATCTTTATATGTTTCGGTTCTTATAACCATTTGCTTTCAAATATTCGGCTTTGGTTGGTCGTGACTGATGAAGGTAGATCCAGAAAAGCGCTTCAGACGCATGAATTATAAAGTGTTATTTTCATTGTTTTACACTGGAAATGTGCTTTTGTATACTGTTGACATGCTTTGTTGATAGTCTTATTGTTGTAAGGAGAACCGTACAAATCTGTCAATATGGCTCTTGCTGTTTATACCATAGTGGAGCAGGTTCTTATCCTTTCCGAGCAAGAGCATACCATAGTGGAGCAGGTTCTTATCCTTTCCGAGCAAGAGCATATCATAGTGTAGCAGGTTCTTATCCTTTCTGAGCAAGAACATACCATAGTGGAGCAGGTTCTTATCTATTCTGAGCAAGATCATACCATAGTGGAGCAGGTTCTTATCTATTCTGATCAAAAGCATACCAAAGTGGAGCAGGTTCTTATCCTTTCTGAGCAAGAACATACCATAGTGGAGCAGGTTCTTATCCTTTCTGAGCAAGAGCATACCATAGTGGAGCAGGTCCTTATCCTTTCTGAGCAAGAGCATACCATAGTGGAGCAGTTTTTATTCTTTCTGAGCATCCGGGTTAAACCCTGGTTTTAGTGGGGTTCGAGTGGAGGATTCTGTGTAGTCTTTTGGTGAAGATTTATTTTCTCTTTGTCGGTTTTCTTTTGGCCATGTTTTAGTGGGTTTTCTTTTTCAATATATGGTTTTTATATATCCCTTGGTATCTTTTCCCTCTTTTCACACCTGTTGTACTGAAATCATTTGTATATTGTGAAGGAATAATATAAAAATAAGGAGATACGTCTGTTTGTATATATTGTTTCAAGAATAAGTCCCCAATGGCGGATCCAGAAGTTTTCATAAGGGGACCACTGACTGCCTAAGAGGGGGGCCCGCTCCAGTCATGTGATTCCCTATATAATCAACCAAATTTTTCCCACAAAGGGGATGGGGGTGGCCCTCTGTAGTATATGTGTATGTGTTTGCACTACAAGTTTCACGGATTTGATAAGACACCTATGTCATGGTGTTTCTTTCACAAGTGTCATGGTGTTTTTAATAATTACAATGTATATGTTGTGTACAAGTTGTAATTTCGTACAAATTATAATTTGTACAGGGTTTTTGTACAAGTTATCAGTATTTTGACACACATCTTTTTTCACCTGCTGATACAAGTTTATCTTCAATAATTATCCAGTTCGATGTTTTACTCACAAATTTATATACTTCAATCTAACATTAAGCACTATCCTCTATGTCATAAAACTACAAATAAGGACACCTGATTTGTTTAGATTATATTTTTATTTATTGACTTATACCAAATTCTATGTCCACAAAATATATTTTAGAGTTTTTAAATAAACTTTGTGTCAGTACTATGTGCAAGACTGTAGCATATAGTTGTGGAAATAAAACAGTGATAAGCTTAACCAAAGACACTGTGCTTATTTTATCTAATTATGAAAAGAGATTCACAAAATACAGATAACTTGTACCAAAATACTGTACAAATTATAATTTGTACAACATTACAATTTGTACACAACATATATAGATCAATTAAAATCACACTGCAAACGCTATATATCTATTAAGACTTTATTTCATATATTAAAGACAGAAACAAACAGATCTATATTTAAAAGTTGTACACAATGTTTATCACAATAAAATGTTCAAATGTGATAAAAAATAAATATACATGTATAAAATCTTTAAATTTATAAAACTCTTAGGAATATGATATGTTAGATCATAAAAATTAATATAAATTAAAATTTGGCACAGATAAACTATAATTAAGGGTTATTAGATAAACAGATAGATAAAAAAACTTTTTAAATTAAAAATCATAAATACAAACCAAGCAAGTAATAAAAATAAATCGTTCTTAAAAATTGGAATGTAAAACGTGCGCTGTTCAAAACACTTTAAGTTATAAATATTGTTAATAATAAAAATAATATCATATCATTTCAGCGCATTTCAATCAGATATTAAAACGGATCGCGAATCTCGATGTTTTTCAGTCAAACTTATGATATTCATTCGCTTTGAGCTTAACAAAATATTAATTATAAAATACTTGATTCTTTCTACACAAACACAATTAAGTAACACAATTTAAAGATTTTTGAAGATTGCTGATCAGGAAAACATTGGATCTAGTGCTGCAATTATATAATGTAAACCCTGTGAAGTGAAAGTTGTCATTTCAATTGCTTTATGTTTCAGTTTCAATGTTTTCACATGCTTTAAACCTTCGTTATTCCAGATCTGTCGTACGTCTTTTTCTGAATAACTATTTCTGTACTTTCTTCAATGTGTCTTGTCATAGAATCCTTTAATCAAACGAATCAAAATCTGTTTCCGTTATAAAGTCTCAATTCAATTCTGAATTCTCCATTGTTCTCTAAGTTTCCATTGCTTTCATAAGATAAGGAATACATTTGTGGTTTCTTTGTCACACGTCGGTTATCTTTTCTGCTCTATCGTTATTAGCTAAACTTTTTTCTTCATTATCGACCTTTTTTGTATCAGAATCAGCTATTTTCATTCTCTTTTCTGTCGTTCTTTCTTCCTTCGTTTCTGTATTTTGACATACAGTATTCTGACTAGTTTCAACCTTCATTAACTCATCTCTCACGTTGGTCAATGCTTTTCCAAGTAAATTTTGCCCTTTCCATTTTTTACAATCCCAAGCCCTTGGGTCCTTTTCGTCGAGTCCAATACCCCAGATTGTGTCCTGAGGACTAGCTTCGACAAGCATTTTAGGAAAAGTCTTCAGAATAGTTGTCTTAAGCTCTTGGTTTTGGGAGAACTAAAATAAAAAATGGTTTTGGATTATACTTTTCCCCTGACATAAGATCATTCAATTTACTGCTATTTATAAAAGAAAATTTCAAGAGAAGTATCAAAATCGGTTGTCATCGTGGATTGCAAATGAATTTTACTTAAATAAGCAAATTATAAAAAGAAATGTAGCTTACTCATATAATTGAACCCTATCAAAAAAATAACGTTTTTACAAAAGCAAAAAAATCTAAACGAACGTATGCCACATGTCTATAAAGCGATACATTTACAGTGCTAAAGAATAGTATTGTATGAGTTATATCTAACATTAATTACTCACAAGTCGGAGAGAAACTAACAACGCATGACATAAAAAAAGACCACAGAAAGGGATACAACTCCACAAAACACGACATTAAAAACTAAAAGACTTAGAACAAAAACGAATAAAATGCTCCGCAGGGCGCAGCTTGATACGACCGCAGAGGTCGAACCCTGAACAGTTGGGGCAAGTATGGACACAACATTCAAGCTTGATACAGCTCTGAATTTGGATTGTGATTAAATATTTGACACAGTATAGGTTTCTGACACAGAATGAATGTGGTCTAAGAACTTAAAAATTTTAAATTGGACATTCACCTATTATGGTCCAATATCCAAAATCTAAATACATGGTTAGATTCAGCATATCAAAGAACCCCAAGAACTCAATTTTTGATAAAATCAAACAAAGTTTTATTTTAGACCCTTTTGACCTCAATGTGGACAAAGTTGATAACGGGGCCCAAAAATCAAAAATCTAAATACATGGTTAGATTCAGCATATCAAAGAACCCCATATATTCAATTTTTGTTGAAATCAAACAAAGTTTAATTTTGGACCCCGATTTGGACCAACTTGAAAACTGGGCCCATAATCAAAAATCTAAATACATGTTTAGATTCAGCATATCAAAGAACCCTAAAAATTCAATTTTTGTTAAAATCAAACTAAGTTTAATTTTGGACCCTTTGGACCTTAATGTAGACCAATTTGAAAACGGAACCAAAAATTAAGAATCAAAATACACGGTTAGATTCGACATATCAAAGAACCCCAATAATTCAATTTTTGATGAAATCAAACAAAGTTAAATTTTGGACCCTTTGGACCTCAATGTGGACCAATTTAAAAACGGGGCCCAAAATCCAAAAACTTAATACACGGTTAGATTCAGCATATTAAAGAACCCCAAGAATTCAAGAATAAAACCCCATTGAAATTGATCAAGAAATAAGCAATTTATACGAAGTATCTTCTTTTGCACAATACTGTGCAATTGAATATTTCTTGCTATTGCGCAATACTGTACAATTGACAATTTCTTGCTATTGCGCAATATTGTGCTATTGGATATTTCTTGCTATTGCGCAATACTGTGCAATTACAGATTTCTTGCTATTGCGCAATACTGTGCAATTGAAGATTTCTTGCTATTGTGCAATACTGTGCAATTGAAAATTTCTTGGTTTTGCACAATACTTATTATATAATAATTTACACATCCTGTTTGGTGTGTATCTCCTACCATATCATTATTATTTGCTTTTAAATATAAATCAGAAATAACCAACTCAAAATGGAAAATTTTAAAAGAAAAAAAAAAAGGAAAAAAAGAAAAAAAAAGAAAAAAACAAAATCCCCCCCCCAAATTTTTTGAACCCCCTTATGATTCATCACCCCCAAACTCAATCCCAGCCTTCCCTTTGTGGTATGGTACCTTGCAGTACAATTTCAGAGAGATCCATTCACTAGTACTTGAACACAAGTTATTGTCTGGAAACTAGAAAAATGTGTTTTTTGGCCCCTTTTTGGCCCCCAATTCCTAAACGTTTAGGGCAATTACCCCCCAAACTCAATTCCAGCTTTCCCTTTGTGATATGGAACCTTGTAGTACAATTTCAGAAATATCCAAACACTTACACACAAGTTATTGTCATGAAACTAGAAAAATGCTTGTTTTTTGCCCCTTTTTTGGCCCCTAATTCCTAAAATTTTGAGGCAATTACCCCCAAAATCAATCCCAGCCTTCCCTTTGTGATATGAAACCTTGTGGTACAATGTCAGAGAGATCCATACACTTACACACAAGTTATTGTCTGGAAGTTACAAAAATGCTTATTTTTGGCCCCTTTTTGGCCCCTAATTCCTTAACTGTTGGTACCATAACCCCCAAAATCAATCCCAACCTTCCTTTCGTAGTATTGAACCTTATGGTAAAATTTCATGGAGATCCATTCACTTAAACTAAAGTTAGAGTGCGAAAACCAATGTGTCTTCGGACGATGCAGGACGACGCCGGACGACGAAGACAACGACGACAACGACGACGACGACGACGACGACGACGCCAACGTCATTACAATATACGACCAAAATTTTTTTAATTTTTGCGGTCGTATAAAAACTGTTGTATTTGTGTGTGATCAAGGTCACCGGAAGGTAAGAAGATCGTGTTGAACTAGTAGCAAAAAATGTTCCGCATTGACTATAATCACAACAAGAAGCTGTCAGAGTGACAGCAAACCGGATTTTCCTGCAGAGGTCGAACCCTGAACAGTTGAGCAAGTAAAGACATTACATTTAAGCTTAAAACAGCTCTGAATTTGGATTGTGATTGAATATTTGACACAGCATAGGTTTGTGACACAAAATGAATGTGGTCAAAGAACTGAAATATTTGAAATTGGACATTTACCTATTATGGTCCAATATCCAAAATCTAAGTACATATTAGAATCAGCATATCAAAGAACCCCAAGAATTCAATTTTTGATGAAATCAGACAAAAGTTTAATTTAGGACCCTTTGGACCTCAATGTGGACCAATTTGATAAAGGAGCCCACAATCCAAAATCTCTCAATACATGGTTAAATTCAGCATTTCAAAGAACCCCATGAATTCAATTTTTGTTGAATCAAACAAAGTTTAATTTTGGACCCTGATTTGTACCAACTTGAAAACTGGGCCCAAAAATCGAATATTTAAATACAGGTTTAGATTCAGCATTTCAAAGAACCCTATATATATTTAATTTATGTTGAAATGAAACACAGGTTAATTTTATCCATAATATTTTCTGTGCAAAGGGAAATAACTCAAACTGGATAAATAGTTCTCTAAAATAAGATATGATGCAATTTTTCAAATTATAATCAATAATATAATAACGACAACCAGTGATGACTAAGTTCTCTAAAATTAGATATGATTTAACACTCAAACATTGTTAGAATCATCATATCAAAGAACCAAAGAATTCAATGTTTGATGAAATTAAACAAAAGTTTAATTTAGGACCCTTTGGACCTCAATGTGGTATTATCTTATTAATAATGAAAAGAAATACAGGTTTAGATTAAGCATTTCGAAGAACCCTATATATATTCAATTTATGCTGAAATCAAACACAGTTTAATTTTGGACTCCGATTTGGACCAACTTGTCAACTGGGCCCAACATCAGAAATCTAAATATATGTTTATTAATAGACAATATAAGCTTAGTTTTTAAAGGAGTTCACTTCATCAAAAAAAAAATATATAGCATTCAGAAAATTAGTTTTTACAGAATAACAAACAAACTTGCCACAAAATTCTTCAAGCAATTTACCAAAGAAAAGAAGAAAAAAATCCAAAATTTTATTTATCATTAATACAATGTATTTAAAAAAAAAATTATTAGTAACAAGAAATAATTGTAACAGGATGCTGTTACGAAGTCTCCCAAACAAAGCTCCAATAATTCGTCATTCCCATGGTCGCCTGACATTGGGCAACGTCCAGTACAAATTGGTTTGTGATATGCATAAGTGACGCCTATGGATTGACCCTGTATGTCATTCAAATCTTCTTGAAATGACAAACAGGAATATATATGGTTTAGGGGTGGAGATCTCGACCGTTTACAAGTTCTCAAAAGGGGGGGGGTGTGATCCCCAGGAGACTCGCCCTTTATTTCATATGATTTGTTTTTTGTCCCATACAAGAATATATATGGTTTAGAGGTGGAAATCTCGACAGTTTACAAGTTCTTAAACAGGAGGGGTGGGGGTGACCCCAGGGGACTCGCCTTTTATTTCATTTGATTTGTTTTATTGTCCCATACAAGAATATATATGGTTTTGGGGTGGGGATCTTGACCGTTTACAAGTTTTCAAAAAGAAGGGGGTGGGAGTTACCCCAGGGGACTTCCCCTAAATTTCATTTGATTTGTTTTATTGTCCCATACAAGAATATATATGGTTTAGGGGTGGGGATCTCGACCGTTTACAAGTTTTCAAAAAGAAGGGGGTGGGGGGTTACCCCCGTGGACTTCCTCTATAATTCATTTGATATTTTTAGTGTCCCATACAAGAATATATATGGTTTCGGGGTGGGGATCTTGACCGTTTACAAGTTATCAAAGAGAAGGGGGTGGGGTTACCCCCATGGACTTCCCCTATATTTCATTTGATTTGTTTTATTGTCCCATACAAGAATATATATGGTTTAGGGGTGGGGATCTCGACCGTTTATAAGTTCTCAAACAGGAAGGGGTGGGGTGACACCAGGGAACCCGCCTTTTATTTCATTTGATTTGTTTTATTGTCCCATACAAGAATATATATGGTTTCGGAGTGTGGATCTTGACCGTTTACAAGTTTTCAAAAAGAAAGGGGTGGGGGTGACCCCCTTTGACTTCCCCTATATTTCATTTGATTTGTTTTATTGTCCCATACATGAATATATATGGTTTAGGGATGGAGACCTCGACCGTTTACAAGTTTTCAAAAAGAAGGGGGTCGGGGTTACCCCCGTGGACTTCCCCTATATTTCATTTGATTTGTTTTATTGTCCCATACAAGAATATATATGGTTTCGGGGTGGGGATCTTGACCGTTTACAAGTTATCAAAAAGAATGGGGGTGGGGTTACCCCCATGGACTTCCCCTATATTTCATTTGATTTGTTTTATTGTCCCATACAAGAATATATATGGTTTAGGGGTGGGGATCTCGACCGTTTACAAGTTCTCAAACAGGAAGGGTGGGGGTGACCCAGGGAACTCGCCTTTTATTTCATTTGATTTGTTTTATTGTCCCATACAAGAATATATATGGTTTCGGGTGTGGATCTTGACCGTTTACAAGTTTTCAAAAAGAAGGGGGTAGGGGGTGACCCCCCCTTGACTTCCCCTATATTTCATTTGATTTTTTTATTGTCCCATACAAGAATATATATGGTTTCAGGGTGGGGATCTTGACCGTTTACAGGTTTTCAAAAAGAAGGGTGGTGGGGGTGAACACGGGGACTTCCCCAATATTTCATTTGATTTGTTTTATTGTCACATACAAGAATATATATGGTTTAGGGGTGTGGATCTCGACCATTTACAAGATAAAAGCACATTCTCAAATTGAAGGGGGGTGGGGGTAAGAATATATATGGTTCAGGGAGACTTAATTATCTACAAAATGTCTAATAATGAACAGTTAATTTCAAACTCAAAAAGGAGACATACTAAAACCGTGAAAATTGAACTTGACCTTCATTTAGTCACAAGAAACAACATATCTAAATTTGAAAAAAAAAAATCATCACAGCGTTTTCATGTTATTGAAGAGACACTGTTTGGCAGCCGCCCGTCATCCCGCCCGCCCGCCGTACATCCCCAAATCAATAACCGATATTTCCTTCGAAAATCCGGTTACAAATTACAGTCTATATAATTAAAATACAGGATGAAAGGTAAAGTTACAAAAAAAGTTAAAATAACTATTCCGAAAAGAGGCATGAAGATTCAACGAGTATATTTAGGATTCATTGAAACTCGTACCTAAAAATGTTTTCAATATTATATCAAGTGCAATACAATATTCCAGTAAAAGTAGATATTAACCTTGAAAAAAGTGCAATCAGAAATACAGATCATATGTCCACGCTTTGCTGACAAGATGTGTTAGCGAAGAGTGGACACAGGATCTGTATTATATCAGATTGAAATAAATGGGGAATGTGTCCATGGGACACAAATGATGCCCCCGCTTGCATATCATATAAAGTTATAAAGGGACATAACTAAAGAACAATAAAAGTGACGCTACCTAAATTTGTACTTGATCTGAGTTTTGTGGTAATAAGTATTGTGTATAAGTTTCATAAAATTTGGTTGAGGCAAACTTAAGTTAGAGAACTGAAACGAAAAATTCAGCAATTTTTCCATTTGTAAAGGGGCATAACTCTAGAACAGTAAAAGTGACACCACCAAAATTCAAACTTGATCTGTATGTTGTGGTAATAAGCATTGTGTATAAGTGTCATAACATTTGGTTTAGGTAACTTAAGTTAGAGAAAGGAAACGAAAAATTCAGCAATTTTACTATTTGGTAAGGGGCATAAATCTAGAACGGTTTTAAAGTGACGCCACCAAAATTCAAACTTGATCTGTGTTTTGTGGTAATAAGCATTTGGTATAAGTTTCATAACACTTGGTTGAGGCAAACTTAAGTTAGAGAACGGAAACGAAAAATTCAGCATTTTTTCCATTTGTAAAGGGGCATAACTCTAGAACGGTTAACGTGACGTCACCAAAATTCAAACTTGATCTGTGTTTTGTGGTATTAAGCATTTGTATAAGTTTCATAACATTTGGTTGAGGCTAACTTAAGTTAGAGAAAAGAAAAGAAAAATTCAGCAATTTTTCCATTTGTAAAGGGGCATAACTCTAGAACGGTGAAAGTAACGCCAACAAAATTCAAACTTGATCTGTGTTTTGTGGTAATAAGCATTGTGTATAAGTTTCATAACATTTGGTTGAGGCAAAATAAAGTAAGAGAACGGAAACCAACTTTGGGACGTACGTACGTACGTACGTACAGACGGACAAGGGTAAAACTTAATGCCCCCTCCGCTACGGCGGGGGCATAAAAAGTTGGGATTGTTAATGCCCAATTTATTTTTCCTGACTTTACAATTTCATGTTAGAAATGTTTTTTTCTGTATTGGATCAGGAGATTTGGTATTATTTAAAGGATATATAACACCGTTGCCCGCCTCCATGCACATTAAAAATGTTTTGTTTCACGGTTATTTACTGTAGAAATATTACCTTTGCTTTATTTCCACATTCAACAATGACTGAACAGCTATCATCCCATACGCTTTTGTCAAAATTTTCCACAAGTCGACCTAAATCCTTCTGTTTACGAGGATCAGAGGTATTGAGTATCTTTTCTGCAGTCTGTTTATCCCCAAATAATACTAAAAATAATTAAAAGCTACATGTAATAAAACAAAACTTGGAAAAATTACATCATTGATACATGTTGTTGAAAAAAAATCAGAACTGACAGTAAATATTCAGTTACTTAATGTTCATAGTAACATATTTTATTTAACTGTACTGAAACACTCGTATTCTAAAATACAAAATAAAACAGGGGATCAAATCAATTAAGCAGAGGGAAATTGATTAAACTCTACGTGGAAATTCTATATGGAAATCATTCATAAAATTTTAACCTTTAACTGTGCTCCACGATAAAACAACAATCCTTACTTGCTTTGCTGTACATCATATACTGTTCTGCACAGTTAAATTTGATCCCATCGACAGTGAAATCACTTTCATACCACTGACTGTACGGAGAGTGTGATCTCCAAAAGAATTCATATGCCTCGTGTGCTTTTTTTCTCAATGCTGCATTATCTTTTTTATTTGGAGTAGCTCCTTTGTTTGCTTTTTGACCTCTTTTATTTTTTTCATCTGTTATCTCTAGTCTATTTTGATTTTGTTGCTTATTTTTTTTGCCTCTCTGTTCGTATTGGATCTTGTTGTAAAAATTGCCTTTGGTAACTTCAGCCTTTACATATTTTGGATTTTTAGCTTTTGCGCCGTCACTTGCTTTATCGTCCTTTACGTTCACCTGTTGCGTCGAAACTGTCTCTGAATTACAAGCTGTCTCAATCTTTTGTTTATATTTATCGTCAGTATCGTCATTTGGTTCAGCACTCATAAAACTTAGTTGTCTTGTATCTCCTTTACCACCATCTAAGCTGGATTCCTTTATATTTTTATTTTCTACATCAACTGGTTCGATATCTTTCGTACCTTGATTTTTTCCCTCACTATCCCCCTCTGTAACCTTGATAAGAGCAGATTTCTGTTCTTTATCTGTGTCGTCCTCACTTTTGTTTGAATCATTGTGTATTTTCACTTTATTTATCATATCATCCTTATCGTTACTTTTTTCCGCACATGAATCCTTTTTATTATCAGATGTTTGACATTCCTCACCAGTTGCGTGACATTTTGTGTTAAATACTTGGGTACCTATCTCAGTATCAACATGATTGGATTTGCTGTTGATATCAGAGCCCGTGTTTTCTTCTTGTGTTATGGAGTTCATTAGTATCTTGTCGTCATTAACTTCAGGTTTCTTGTGTTCCATTTTTTTAATATCTTGATTTGTTGATTCTTTTCGCACGGACATATTCAGCTTGACTTCGACCTTTACTGTAGAGAAATCTGTATAACTAAAGTATTTTATTAATATGTAGTTATTAATAGGTATATAGTTATGTAAAAATAAAAGCTATGTATCAACGTGCCCTAGGGACCGCTCTTTTAAAAGACAATTTATTGCGTAATATCTATTAGGGCAAATTTATTGAATCTTTCATATATCATTATGCAACTTACTGTTTATTCTGTATGTAATGACTGGTAGACAAAATAGTCAAATAAATGCGATACAGTTAATTCGTACGAGAAATTTCTAATCAAATACTATTTTATTTATAAGTCACTATAAAATGAGCATTTAAATAAACTTACAGCATAAGTAAACTATCAACTGATCAGACCCCGATCAAAAAAGTATTTCACAAGCGACAGAAACAAATCGAAAGTTGTTTGGCAACGCCCACGCAAAACAAAAATAAATATGAATATAATTATAAAGTCGGATCGGATCAAGCCCCTCACGATCCGTGAAGTGACTATGATATAAACTTTGTTTCAGACATAAAAGGTCCATATAATCTATATACATAGCACAAAATATTTCTTTCTATACAGGAAAACATGTCAAAATAAATACAGTATACAGTTAAACAGTCAGATATAAAATAAAGATTAAGAGATTAAGATATGTTATTTTTAAAAATTAGGTTCCCAGGGGGGTATACACATTTAACAAATATAATCTTTACAACATACAGTATTTTACATGACATTCATATAATACACCTTAAATATTGATATAGAGTGATACAGGCTATTATATGTTTTAAATTTTAAAAAAAAAAGTATTTAAGATTGCTGCTCCAGAGATGTGGCAAATGTCTTCTCATCGTGATTTTATTTGCAGTTATTTTTTATTTTATTTTATTTTATTTTTGTTGTTGCTGGAAATGTGTAAATATGTTTGATTTTTTTAGCTGCAACAGGTACCAAGGGACGATGCTCAAGGACTGCGAGCTTAAGAGCTCTAACAAACATTCTCGTATCTGTTGCAAAGAAACAAACATAAAAGTAACACAAAAGTTCAAGTTTATTCACAGCAAATGACATATACTGCAGTAATAGGTTTTGAGAATAGTGTAGGTTTCCCTACTGCAACAGACACCAAGGGGCGGTTCATAAGTAATTTTTTCCAAAATGTGTCTGCCTGCTTTGTTGAATATCAGAACCTTTGTTTTGTTGGGATTTACACTTAAACACCAATCTTTGCAATATTATTTTAAGGATGTTCAGTCTTGTTTGCAGTCAATTAGCAGTCAGATGTTGATAAAAGGAACAAATCGTCTGCATACAATAAGCAATTCACTGGTTTATCATTAAGTGTAATAGGGTCTTCAGTTTCTTGTAAATACTCTGGCAAGTCATTTATAAATAACTTAAACAGATTGGAACTTAAATTGTCCCCTTGTGTAACTCCAAGTTTTACTTTGAAAAAATCTGTTACTCTGGACTGAATCTTAACACAAGATTTACTTGATTCATATATGCGTTTATAAAATGAAGTATACCGGTATGAATGACAGTGTCATAAACTTTCTGAAAATCCACGAAGCAGGCATAAACCCTTCGATACAACTCACAATTTAACAATGTTGAAGACGGCAATAAATCACTACTGAAAATTGTATTTATCAACTGTTTTTCATATGCTTTCAAGTGATTTAACAGACTAAACATCGACTTTCGCATAACTTCATCGAAAGACATAACTTCATTCATGACAATCATATAACTGGCACTACATCTATATTCATATCAATTAATTATCCTAAAAGGTTAAGCATTGTTATACATTAATCGCATTTTATTTTAAAAAACAGTATTATCTTAAAAGAAATATTATGCATTAATCACATTTCCTTTAAAAAGGCAGAACATTTATACCATAAAGATACACAATATACATTTTGTACATAATTATTATATTTAAATTTACCCGTGTACGTTTTTTTATTTAACGCCATTTTGTCCAAGGTTATAGTTGTCTTTTTGACATTTTACATCCCCCCTTTTTTATTTAATATTGTATTTATATTGTGTCATAGATCATATTTATTCGTTCAGTGTATGATTACATGTTTTTGTTAATATGTCTTTTTGATTGAGTTAAGCCATTTCAATTGATATTTTATAGTTTGTCTTTCTATGTTGTAATGTTACACTACTATTTCAGGTTAGGGTGAAGGTTGGCGCCTGTTAAAACGTTTAAACCAGCTGCATTTTTTTGCACCTGTCCTAAGTCAGGAACCTGTTGTTCAGTGGTTGTCGTTTGTTGATGTGGTTCTTAAGTGTTTCTCGTTATTTATATGGATTAGACCGTTGGTTTTTCTGTTTGAATTGTTTTACACTAGTCATTTTGGGGGCCTTTATAGCTTGCTGTTCGGTGTGAGCCAAGGCTCCGTGTTGAAGGCCGTACTTCGACCTATAATTGTTTACTTTTTACACATTGTGACTTGGATGGAGAGTTGTCTCATTGGCATTCATACCACATCTTCTCATTTCTATATGCATGTAATAAGACTTAAAGAGTTCAATCTTAACATCTGTAGAACATTTGTTAATTAGCCTGTTAACCAGTAAACCTTCCTGCATATAATTTGATATTGTCTCATTATAAACCACATGTCCAATATATATAAATGCATCCACAAACTCTATTAAATTGCCAAATAAATAAAATTCTGGCACATTTAAAACCTTTTTAAAATACTTTATTTTAAAAATCATTTACAATGATTTCTTGACATTAAGCAAAATATCATGTTCACTAGCAGATTCTTCACAAATACATAAAATTAGTATTCTCTTACCAGCAACTGGTGGGCTTATTAAACACATATCATTAGGTAATGTTTTGCCATTCATATAGCTCTTAACGATTTTACGTATTTGTACATCCCTGGCTTTCAAATATTTAGGTTTTGAGTGTTTATGATGAAGGTACGTAAAGCCAGAAACGCTACAGACGCAACCAATTTATAAAAAAGTTGTTTCCTTAACTAAATTTATTATTCGTGGGCATTCAATTTAAATACTTTTAGTAGCAACAAACGTTTGTAATTGCTAATCTATCATTCATGTCATTTGTATTAAAATTAAACCAGTAGTGTGATAAAATTCCACCTTGACGCACACCATTGCTGAAATTAAACTCACTAGAAATATATTCACCTCATCTAATACATCATGAAGCGATTAATATAGATGATAGTATCACACCTATAGCAATGTCATGTGATTAGCTGTGTCAAAGGATTTCCTTATAAATCATGTCAGTAAGATCTCACTGACTCAAGTTTGGACTTGACGATAGGTACTAAAATAACAAGCATGAATTTCTTTGGGATGACACAGTAAATTAGCATTGATGTTAAAAGCATTAACAACAATACAAGTAGTCTGTAAGGTGCATATTTCAAATGTCCTGCAACTAAACCATCTTTTCCGCCATTTAGTGATTTTTTTTTATAATGGTTTGCACCTCTGAATGTATTGTTAGTAGCAGAGTTTATAAAGTAATTAAATGATCACGCCACACCGGTGCAATGTAGAGCGACCCAGATGGAACAATTCGTTTGTTAAAGTGGAAAGGTTTTTTTTTGGTTTTCCAGTCTTGATTCCGTTTCAAAAACAACGTATGTCGTTAATGTTCAGTTTATTTGCAAAAGCATCAGCTATATGTTGCCAGTTAACATTTTCTCTAAATATTTCAAATGATAATCTTGTAGATGTCATCAAGTTGATGAACGGGCCATATCGTGGCTTACCAAATGACTGTCCATACGAAAAAGGTTCGCGTTATCTCCCCATAAATACAAGGGTTTATCATTAATGTGGTTTCCTGGACTTCTCCCGCCCGGCAGGTAAACTCATTATTAGGACGGCGTCACTTTTGGCTGCACGGGATGTATAAATACGCAGCCCCGTCCGGATTGAATAAGAGCGTTAAAGGTCACAAGAGCGGAAATATTTGTAATGCATTCTTCTTAAGGTACTTGTAGTGTTCAAATCTTTTTTCTTGGAGAAACAAAATATTAGTCGGCAGCTGATCCTGTTACTAGAGATGTCAGCGTTTTATTACAGCGAAAGGTATATTCAAAGTTCATGCGGCAAAATTTGACTTAAAATGTTGTTGTTGTAGAAGCTTCCAAATTATGTTCTTAATGGAAAAGGAAATTTTGAATGGCTCCTTATTTTATACAGTGAAAATATTTTCTATACTATGTAAGATATAGATTTTGTATTCCGGAATTTTTAAACCTAAATGGATAAATGAAAGTAATACTTTATAAATGAATTACGTCCGAAGCGCTTTCATATAAAATATAATTCCAACCCTGCATCACCTAATCAGGAGCCCCAAACTTTCCTTGTTCTCAGTACTATTTTGGGTTATAAAAAAGGTTGCAGGTCAATGTAAACAAATCGTTGCACTGTTATAAACTACATCCTTAAATAGATGTGTTACCGCTTTTTCGAGCCGTCTGAATTATTTATGAACTTTTATTATTTACGGTACGGACACCATCCCGATTTTTGAACGGCTGATTTCTTCACTTAACGGAAACTCCTGCACGAGATACGTTCCAGAGTTTCCCCCTATCGTGATAAATTGCAAATAAACACCCAAAAATTGTATTTATCAACTGTTTTTCATATGCTTTCAAGTGATTTAACAGACTAAACATCGACTTTCGCATAACTTCATCGAAAGACATAACTTCATTCATGACAATCATATAACTGGCACTACATCTATATTCATATCAATTAATTATCCTAAAAGGTTAAGCATTGTTATACATTAATCGCATTTTATTTTAAAAAACAGTATTATCTTAAAAGAAATATTATGCATTAATCACATTTCCTTTAAAAAGGCAGAACATTTATACCATAAAGATACACAATATACATTTTGTACATAATTATTATATTTAAATTTACCCGTGTACGTTTTTTTATTTAACGCCATTTTGTCCAAGGTTATAGTTGTCTTTTTGACATTTTACATCCCCCCTTTTTTATTTAATATTGTATTTATATTGTGTCATAGATCATATTTATTCGTTCAGTGTATGATTACATGTTTTTGTTAATATGTCTTTTTGATTGAGTTAAGCCATTTCAATTGATATTTTATAGTTTGTCTTTCTATGTTGTAATGTTACACTACTATTTCAGGTTAGGGTGAAGGTTGGCGCCTGTTAAAACGTTTAAACCAGCTGCATTTTTTTGCACCTGTCCTAAGTCAGGAACCTGTTGTTCAGTGGTTGTCGTTTGTTGATGTGGTTCTTAAGTGTTTCTCGTTATTTATATGGATTAGACCGTTGGTTTTTCTGTTTGAATTGTTTTACACTAGTCATTTTGGGGGCCTTTATAGCTTGCTGTTCGGTGTGAG